ACTTAATCTGATCTTGTTTTCTAACATTCTTTAAGCTTTGCCAAGCAAGTGAATAATTTTCCAGACTATTAAGCTAATAATAGCAATGATTATAGGTATTAAGGCATGAATACATAACTAAACGTAAAATAATCTAAAGTTTAAGCCATCAGCATCCTTTATGCTCTTGTCAAAGCTAAGCAGCTGTAATAGACAATCTATTTTGAATACTTATGAAAAAATTGTGGCTAATTGTCTGTTAATCAATAAGAATTTAGCAATATTTTCACTCCATTGAAATTCTAAAGAAGAAATTACCATAACTAGTTGAAAGTGATTAAGCAAAATTTTGAGAAAAATGCTAGAATCAAGATTTTGATAAGCATTTAAAGAGTTCTTAATCATCAGTACTGAGATTAAAATAATTCCAAGCAATATAGAAATTAACTTTAAAAGGTCCTACCAAGGAGGTGGGCATTATTGGCATTCATACTATAAATCTTCAAAATATCCTTATTAACACTCACCACATAAAACACCTTAATATCCAACTGCACATTCTCCTAAAGGATTTAGATTAGGCTTAATCATTCCTAGACACGCACTTTCTTATCGACATTTAATAAATGTGCTTGAATTTACGCTAATTCTCCAAAACCCTGGTAATGGTCCAATATTTGAACCTCCTTAACATTATGCTCTATCTGTTTAGCATTACTTACATTAACCTGGCTCTTTCATCTCAATCAAGGAATATCCAGTTTCACAAATGACACATTTCCCTGAAACTGTAAAATACTCTCCAGCAATACAATTTCTAAATTTTATGCTTAAAGTAATATTTAAACTTTCAATAGCTTGCTTTAAACTATCTTAATAATCTCTTTGTAATTAGATATAATATTACTATCCAGGAGTTCCAATGAGATTTATATCTTTAACAATAGTTGCACCTTTTTCAATACTGAATTCAGTTTATCCCTCAATGTTAGGTGGATACATACTCTATGCTGAAGTGAGATTATCTGTGACAAAAGATAGTGTTACTTTACTTTTCGAATCTGAACCCACTATCTGCCCGTAATTATCTTTTAAGGCTAGATAAATTTCTTTTATGCTTCCTCCACTTCTCTATTCTGATATGATATATCCATCTTTGCTAATATTACTACCATTTTAGATTATTAGATTTCTCAGCAAATTGTTAGTGGTATTTAATTATTCTTAATTTTGAACTAACCACTATTTCCATAAAGAATATTCACTGCTACTTATAACCTCAAGTCTTTAAGAAAAACTAGCAATATTCTATCCATAATAAATGGCTAAGTTATTGATAAATTGTGGTTATTCTTTAAAGTTGGGTTCAACAGAATCCCAAAAAATAGCACCTCCCTAAACTTCAGCAAGATTAGCTTTAAATTAGTTTGACCCAGTAAATATCAATTGGCAATCCAAGGCATCCTAGTCACACGAGAAGTAAATAGAACCGCCAGATCCAGCATTTTATGACTGACTATTAAATTTGTTTAGCTCTTTAGCCTAATTATTAATGAATTACGAGCTTTAAATTGTTAGAATCTCTTAATTGTCAATGTAAATAGCTCCGCCAGATTAGGCTATGCAGTTTTAAAAAATTGTTCTTACAATCTGAAAATTCTGTTCTTTTTTCTAAGAATCTTCATTTTTAAAGTAAGTCGATTGAGTAATATATAAAGCTGCTCCCTTCTAACTTTTAAGATTTTAAAAATTTGAATCAACAATTTAAATCCCATTACAGTTTACACATTTTATTCCTGCTCCTTATTAAAAGCTTAACCAGTTTTCATTTGCTAATTCTGAGTTATTAAAACTATCTTAGATTTTAATATTTATTGCTTACAGATAAGTTCTTGATAAATATATACAATTTTTAGAGTAGGTTTTACTAAATGTAACTTTGTTTAATAATGTTTAGCCAGCAGAATTTGAAATATAAAGATCTTCTCCTTCTTAAATTGCAAAATTATTATAAAAGTATGTCTCATTGCCAATGTAGATACTTTAAAAAGTCTAGGCAAATATTGCGCCACCAATGGTTAAAGCTTTATTATTGACAAACTAAGAATTTTGAATGTTATAATTGCCCTTTCCAGAAATATAAATTGCTCCACCAATAGCAGATAATCCATTCAAAAATAAGCTATCAGAGATATTCATATCTACTTCAAAGATGGCTTGAATAAACATTCCTTGTATTTATGATTGCTAAGAAATTATTTACAAATCTTTTTACTCTAAGTTATTGTAATTTTCAAATCTTGTTCTTTTAATAATGATTTTACTAGAGCTTGCTAGAATATTTGATGTTGTCCTTTAAGCTTTGTTTTTGTAAAAGATGCAATTCAGAATTTATACATTTGCAAACAAAAATCTCATAGTAATTTAGTCTGCCTCGTTAAAATTAAATTCTGACCCTGATATCACACTATCTTGTTAATTATTATTAGTGACTTCAAATATGGAATTTAAAATTGCTTTATTCTGCTCAAATATCGAGTTATATATTTTCATACTAGACTAATCAGAAAATATTCCCACTCCAGCTGATTTTACTGCATAATTTTTAGTAAATTAGCAACCATCTAATTCCAAATACGATTAAGATGAGAAGTCTAATACCCCTCCAACTGACCCCATATTATTTTAGAATTTACTTTTTGAGATATAAGCATTAGAATTCTTTGCTCTCATTACACCTCCATAAATAGCTGAGTTGTATTCATAAACTGACTATTTATCTGAGAATGTTGAGTTAATAAGATTGAATACAGATGCTTCTTGAGAAATTCCACAATACTTGAAAATATTTCTTTCTGATGTCACTAATTAAGCATTCTCTAGAAAAAAGAATCCTTTTAAAGGAATCTAAAACTATTCTTTTTATAAAAGCTGGACCTAATAATCCTGATCGATCTTTAAATGACAATGGACTGTGTTGTTCTTAAGTTGAAATACGAAATTTTTTGAAAGAGTCTTGATACCACCAACATTTAGACCTGAATTATTATGAAATATAGATTCCTAAATCAGTAAAGATTTTGCTTCTCGTATGTTGATAATACCTCCTGAGCTAAAAGCAATTTAATCTCTAAATTTGCAATTTTTTATGGTTATTATCAAATCTTTTTGATTAAGATATAGTATTCCACCATCATTCGCTTTGTTACCATTGAATGTAGATCCATCTATAATTAACATTGAGTCATCCTTAAATTCTGGAGTATTTCTCATTAGTAAGAATCCTCCCTCTTAACTAGCTTAATTATCAATTGCAGTTACGTTAATAAATTCTATATAAAATTATTGTTTACATTCTACTTACCAATAAATTGAGAATTCTAAGCATTAATTACACCTCCTTATGCATTAGCACTATTGTTTTTAAAAATTGTATTTTTGAAGCTCATCACTTTCATATTAGTACTTGAAATTATACCTCCTTCGTTATCAAAGCTATTGATAAAGTAAGAATCTTCATCATAATAATTATCTTAAAAAATTAAACCAAATAAATTACTTTAATTCAATATTGCAAATTTCAACTTAACCTAAGGGAAACTAATGAACTAAATATTCTAGGTAAGCAAGGTATTATCTCCAGTTTACAATAAGAACATCCCTTATTGAGCATTTATCTCATCAAGGTACTCTTCTTATCGAGCATCAATAACTAAATCTTTTAAAATCATTTGAGAATTCTACATTACATTAACTATTAGAACAGCTTTGGAATTTCCTAATATATTTCTGAATAGTGATTTTCTATAACCTTTCAAGGAATTTATTATTAATCCTTTATTCATATTTTAAATCAATATATGACCTCCCTAAGATTATCCTCGTTGGTAGATTCCGACAACCTTAACTGATTGTAAAAGAATGAAATCCATTGAAGAGGAGTCGATATTTAAAAAATTACCACCTGAATAAGTTTAAATTTCAAAAAAACTGCTGTTTCTGATAGTTGAATTTGAACTAAATTTAAGAATTTCAGGTTCTGCTGATAAATTAATTAGCCCAAATTTTGATATGCTTAGTATAGTGTGATTTCTCAAATAACAATTCTCCATAAAAAACATTTTTGTACTATCAAAAAAAATAAGCCCTTTTTACGACGATGTATTCAAGTAGGTATTGTTATAAAGATAAAACTAAGTTTCACTTATTACATTATATATGGCAGCACCAGCTCCTGAGCAATTAATGTAAACTGAATTTGTGTCTATAAATAACTAAATAGTATGAGAAAGATCGTTCATTACACCCTGTGATCTATTCATTAAGCAATCGATGACAGTGGAACCATTTATCATTACTTAAGTTACATTAGAAAAACTGAAAATACTTCTAATCCTTGAGATGTAACCCTAAGGCAGAAATTAAAGGCCACTTCTATCTTAATTTGGATAATGAGAATATTATTCGACTTCTCTTTCATATAAAGTGTTATCTCCATATTTTTAATCCTAGAACTCATCTTTTCTTAATTCATTAATGCTCTCTAATTCTCTTTAAGGAAAGATAGGAGATTCATAGCATTTAATGTAATTAGAGTTAATATAAATCTATTCTTGAACTGAACTAATATAGAGTACACCTGAACCAGAAATAATCGATGTAATGTTAAACACTTTATTATTCTCAAAGACTAAATTTTGTGCTAATTCTATATAAATTATCTAGTCGTAATTGCTTGTAAGGTTTGAGATATAGTTATTTTTGAATATAATATTTGCTAGGCGATTACTAACTTTCATTAAAGGATAGAATATAGAAGTAATGTTCAAAAAACATGAATGGCTTATGATCAAGTATAAAGAAGTATTAAAACCAATGCTATCGTAAAAGGTATTATATTTCTGAATCAATTAATCTTCAAAAATAATTTATTCTTAGAATGAAGACATATTTTCAACACTGATGTTTCCAATAGTTGCATTTTTTAAAGGATTCATCATATAAATAACATTTCCTTAGTTTCATTTTACATGATCGGTAATTGAAGAGCCTTTGAAATTCAGGAATTTTGATGAAATTATATTAGTTTCTTAGCACTACTCTAGATAGATTGCAGTTCCTTTATATGCAATATTATTTTAGTAGGTCGAGTTGAAATCAGAAAATTATGAATGCTTTACGAAGATTACTCCTATTCCTGCTATAGTGTAATGATTTTAAAAAGTATTGCAGGTCAAGTTAACTTTAAAAGCTTGCATAATTGTTATCGTACCATTCAAAAGGTTGTATATGTTCTTGGGATCAAACACTTCGTTTGTTTATTTGAAATTAGATCGTGAGATAATGATTGTTGCGTTACTTTCTTCCTTCTAATAAAGAAAACCTCCACATGTATAAGCCTTGTATAAAGTGAAATTCGAATCTAAATAAATCATTTAATGTAAAAGTCTACTTACCTTCAATGATAATTTATGAAGTTATTTAATAGCTATAAATAAACCCACCGAATCCTTTAATTGATTGACTATCTTACTAATTTACATTTTTCATTTGAAATAGTAGTCCCTTCGATTAGAGGTAAAATACTCCTCCGTTATTTACCGAGAAAACACTATTAATATTTAAACCGTCAATAAATAATGATGGTTTTGGTTGATCTGCTTAAATTAAGCTAGCAGCATTTAAATTTTAATTAGTTGCTTGGTCTAACAATCTTATTAGCATATAATTATTATCTTCACAGTAAATAAATCCTCCCATTTCATAACTCACAGATTTATTAACATAGATCTTGGTCATATTTAGCTAAAATTATTTTTCTAAATAAATAGAACCACGATTTACCCCTAAATTTTCAGTAAAATTTGTTCCATTTAGTGTTATGCTTGATTAACTACAATAAATAGCTCCTCCATAATAAGCCAAACCATTCATAAAAAGCGATTCCTGATCGTAAAATGTAGTGTTTTTAGAAAAATGTGGCCTCCCATTCGTGAAAATTGTGAATTAATAAAAGTGTTTTTATTTGAGAATACATTTTTAGCATCAATTATTATAATGGATGCATTGAAAACATATAGCTCCAATTGCTGAAGATATTCTAATGAACTTTGGTATTAGCTTGAATCAAAGTACTATTAGGGTATGTATGTTTGATTAAATTGGATTATTATATTATTTTCTAACAAAATTGCAACATTTTGAGATTCTGAGTAGATTAAGTTAGATTAAGATGAGCTAGTTATGTTTGCCTGAGAGAGTTTGAATTGAGAAGCTTCCTCAATATATGCGATTAGCCCTTATTAGAAAGTCGAATTATAAATTTCAAAATTTCCAGTAACACTTGCTTAGATATTTTTGCCGCTCAAATAGAGAAGTCCTCCTTTAGCATTATTCATAGTCATCCCTTTAATCATAATATATCCTTGTATGATTATTTCTAATTACTTTTAATCACTTTAAACTATTTTTAGAATCCCATACTTATTTTTAAATTCTAGATTTGCTGATCTTAAACCATTTACAATTATATTTTAGGAATCAATTGCATAAAATAGGCTACCTTCTCCCTTAGAAATAATATTCATCAATGCTATATTATTTATCTATATAGAGCAGTTCTGATAATAACCGATTGCACCAATATTACCTTATATATCTTGGTACGTTGAACTAAAGTCTCTAAAATCAGTGTTTTAAAGGTTAAAAATAGTTCCATTAATTCCATCTAATTAAGAGCAACTTTTGAAACTATTATTTTTCAAACTTAATTACCCACCTATCATTGAAATCAAACTTTATACCTTTTATGCCTATCCAGAAGAATTGCAAAGGAACACTATGTTTTCTAGTTAAATATTTAAATTTAAATTTCGAGTGATTATCAAGCCCCCAGAATACATGCCACAATTAGCATTATATTGTTCAACTGAGAAAGTTGAATTCATTATTCTGATTTATATTTAATTCCCGCCTGAAACTTCAAGTTTAAAAGAGCAATCTGATAAATTCCTGCTATGAAGATTCTCTATTAGTATTACTTAAATATTTTGCAAAGTTGTTTCGATGAAATTCCCAACCATATAGTAAATATAGGCTGTAGTAATGTTATTCATAGCAATCTAGCAATCAGAGCATCTAATAATTATCTCATTCTCTTGATTTTAATTAACTTATTATTGTCTCAAAGATTATGAGTTAATGATCACAGATTTGTCTTAGATACTTCAAGCAGTAAACTCACTCATAACAATCATATTTTTGCCATTCTAGCTTTATTTTGAGAATTATTATTAATTTTAGAAGTTGATTTCGTAAATCTTTATTTCCATTATTTTAGGCACCATAATGCTGCTTTACAATTTTTAAATCTCCTGTAATTCTTCTTCTCTTAGTATTCTTGAATTATATCCAATATCAATATCTTGTCTTTAATTTTATCTAGTTTCAGATTCTTCTGTACAATGCTCGCAATTTTTCAAAGGAATTTTGGCAATCATACCACCATAACACAAGGAAAGGATGATGAGTAGAATGATGAATCTTGTCCTAATGTCATTTGTTATATTTAAACCCATTGAAATTAAAAGAATTTTATTCATTCAATAGTTCACTCATTATAAATTTGATATAAAATATTGAGTATAAAAGAATATTTATCTTAACTTACTATTAACATGAGATAAGAGCTAAAGGGGTTTTGGGGTTTTGGGG